CATATATATATATATATATATATATATATATACGTCTGCCAGCCTGACAACCACGAGCCAAATGGATTACGCTCAGTAGCAAAAAAATAAAACAGGAAACTCACCTTCATTTCGTGCCGAAAAAGCCGAAGCATTCGGAGATGGACGAAATGAGCTAAAAGCATCAGCGGCATTGGAGAAAGATAAATCTGGGTAAGAGAGTTTCCTCTGTTTAGCCGGAACACCTATAGGATAGGAGAACATTGATCCAGATGATCCAGTAAGTCCAGATGACTCTGTAATTGTGCAGACAGAAGACCGGCGAGTGGGCTCCAACTGAGCCGGTTTATCCACAATCAAGGAGGCCAGCAATTGCTGTTGAGACGATGACGTCGTCGGTACAGACGATTGAGAAATATCACCATTACTTCTTTCCCCCCAATCGAATTTTCGTTTCTTTGCGGGAAGTCGAGGTGCTGTTTTTTCAGGGCTAGTAACAACAGACGTGGACTCGAGTCCAATTAACTCTGCGGCTTGAGCCAGAAATTCCGGTTGAAGAAAAGGTGAATTTACATCGCTAAAAGCTCGCTGGGTTCTGGTTCCGCCTCCAAGTCGTTCACTTAGGAGAGCTGTTCTAAGTTGGCGATGGGGCATTCCGATGGAATCCACTACATTAGTAGACAACGTGGAAGAAGTGTGAGCTGACGAGACCACTGACCTTGGTGGGGACAAAGTCGGATGACCTTGCCAAGTGTCTGCATCTTCAGTATCTAAAAAGAAAGAGATCCGACGTGTCACATTGAAACAGCACTAAAGCATCACATAATCACACTGAAACTTCGCATTTACCCTGGTAATCAAATACTACAATATATGCACTAATCGCTTGAATGAATACAGTTATTTGAGGAGGGGGGAGGGGGTAGGAAGAATTAAAATTCTATAAAGGGAAAGTAGGTCATGGGGAGAAAAATGAGTTATATGTGTGGCCTACCCTGTTTTTCTTGCAACAAAAACATCTAAACTGAGGGAGCGAAAAAGAAAAGAGAGGAAGACAGAAAGAAATAAAAAATCCACTTCAAACACGACACTAGATCTGGGCGAGCATGTATGCACAATACACGTGCATGAGCGCTAGACACGCGCGCGCACACCACGCACACTAATCGTAGTGGTAGCGTGTCTATTGGTTACCATATTCATCGACCTTGGCGAGCAGCAACCAATTGTGGTGTCCTGTCTTTTCTTTAAATGTCTATTCGAATAACCAGACAGTTAAGCGATTGATTGGTTGCGCTACTGCATTTACGTATGTAAGCGTGGTGTGTGCGGACGTATAACCGCGGAATATGTGAACGGTGGCGCGCGTAATGGCAAAGAGAGGGCATTGACGTCAGAGAAAGTAGTATTCAATGTCTGCCTTCACCATGCCACGCATATCCGAGGCGTTTTAGGTAATTTCACTTTGCTGCTCCCTCCATTTCTATGAGCGAAGGCTTGTTGTGCAATAGATCATTCCATTAGGCTATTGAGAATTTCTCCCTCCCTATCAATGAACGGTCTAATGATAATCATTAGGAGTCGGTGAATAGTATTTGTTGCGAAATAAACTAAGTTTCTAGAAAAGGCTACTATGCAAAAATGACATGTATTTATTACAAGGAATTTGCGTGTCATTTGTTTCTTTTTGAAGGGCAAATACAATGGGGGTAGTGTAAACGGGATTAAGCTAAATTGAGGGGCGCTAGAACCTCTACCCACAGTTTTCAATCACGCAACACACGAATTAACTTCAATTCGCACGTGCCAGGTATGTGAGTGCAGGTAAGGCACACAATCACACAAAATTGAAGTAGCGAACAGTGAGACCGTGTGACCTTGAGGCAGAATTGATGCCAGTGACAAGAAGACAATCATAGCCCACAATGATGGTGCTATCCGTGTACACACAAAAAACGAGACAAAAGAAAAGTATATTGATTCTCTGTGGTGTATGCACCACTGATATAGCTTATGGGGTTTTGACATATTTAATGAAATGGTTGCCCCCATCTAGACTTATGAGTCTAACTGCTTAATCCTTGTGTATACAGCTTCATAAGTTCGTGATTGAGATGTTTACGCTATAGTCCTCCTGGATGTGGGAAACAGCAGAGAGCATTCTGTAAAATTCAATACTTTGTGCCGGAAAAACCGAATTCGAGACCCATCATTGATCAACAGAAGCGGCAGAGAGGGAGAGAGATGGTGAAGTGTGATTTTCACAACCACGTTACCTTAAAAATGGATTTTTCTCACAGGCTTCAAAATGTGGTTTCAAATTAAATCTTGTTATTATTTTATTTTATAAGCAGACGTAGTAACAACGTAGATAAAATGGAAAGCACATACGTTGGCAGTCCTTATCCCCACCACTTTAATGGCTTTTTTGCTTCCATTTTTAGCAGTTTTTTTAATTCAAGAGATGCAAACAATTTAAACGCTTGCGATGTGCGCACGTAACAATGCATCACACTTCAAACAATAAAACGTTTAATTGACACGGGTTCATCCTAAGCCACTATTTTGAGAGAAGAAATTTTATAACATGATGCATGATGCCCTGACAGTATTTGCTTTAATCAGCACCACAGAAGGTATCCCATGGCGAGGTCAAGGTCGTAAGACTAGTTAATTATTATGTAGAACACGTGCATAAATAATAATACTTCACCATAACCTAACAATAAACAAGTATTAATTAATGCGAATAGTAAATAAATATTTTTCAATAGTCACAATAGAAAATCAAGCTAGTTTTACAAAAAGTTTGATAAGAATTTTATTTATAATTTCGTATAAAACATCGATCAAAAGCCATTATTTGTAAGGTGGAAGACAGTCGGACAGATGGCAGGATGAAGAGAGAGAGATATATACATATACATAGAGGTCGGATGGTCACATTATCCAGAATATTTGCAGAGCAAGAAAGTGATATTTTTGTGAAAAAAAAATAATACAAATCGGGACAGCGAAAAGAGCACATAAAAATGAAATAATAGATGCTACTTATCTATTAAATATGGTGCCGTTGATTTAATCATCAAATATGGCTATTGGAATTGGAGTTGACAGTTAATTCAGTTGTTCGCAAATGAAGTGGAATAATTTAAGGAAGTAGAGAAATTCGGCAGATTCTGAGGCAATCCGTACCTACCAAAATATCCCCTTACTAAATAATTTATGACCTAGACAAACCCACCTTCAAACCCAACACTCAAAATGTCCCTGATGTTTCAAGTACAGAATTACAACTAGGATACCTTAGCTTAGTCTCTGTAAGTACGCAAACCGTATTAAGTACAATTAGGGGAAGGAGTGGCTTTTAATTAGTGACAGATTGTCTTGTGAGTACCACTTTTTTTAATTGACCTCAATGGTAGACTTTAAATAAAAGCAGGGCCCAATTTAGGCATTCCCTGTTGTAAATTATCTTTAATCCGGCTTACCCTTGTAAGCTATCGCTCAGCCGGCTTTGAAAACATGAGATATCAAACAGTAATATATCGGAATCAGTTCCTGAAGTTGAACTTTGAAACACCAAGCTGTGTGAAACCAATCTGGGACAACTAAATAACAGACAGTATGCACAAAGGGTCCCTCGTTGCTTTCTATGTAACACCAAAGCAAACGATGATCCAATCCACCAATCACATAATAGCCTGGTTGGGAGATGAGAATCATATCCATAGCTTAAAACGCCATTATCTTCAGAACTCCAGACATGTCAGTAAATAGATCAGCAATAAGAGGGAGAATAGCAGAAGCAGAAAGAAGTAGCCGTACACAGATCTATGTGTACAAGGCCACACATACCGACACACACACAGGATTTTGTAGGTGACCTAAAAGTAGAACACACTGACGCGCATGTAAACGCAAGGCCAAGAGAGAGAGTTGCATACGACGCACCAAGGTTGTGTTTTGCCACCATCACCACCACTACCAACAACAGCAGCACCGTGCCACGTGAACGTGACGTGACGCCGGTCCTTAGGTCAACAACATAAGGGCCAACTTACTGCCCCAACTGTGATTTAGAAGGAACAATTATGTATCATCCCCATCCTGTGTATAAAAGACAATGCATACTAAAGTATGTACCCCCTGGGACAACAGTGCTCACCCACACGATGAGATCCTATTGAGACACGATAAAGTGAGTATGATTGACTTGACCCCATCGCCAAGATTCGTCTATCTGAACTAGATCAAGTAAAGACATGCCCTATCTGGAAAGGGAGTTAAGTGCGTTCAAGAGTATTTGCGATTTCACACATTGTTGCGAATCTGCTAAAGCATGTCTGTTGTCACTTATTTACACAGCTACTTCCCCACTCAAATGTAACGGTGTAGTGAAAACTGAGAGTTACTTCCATAACCACCTCAATTTAATTCCAAGTCGATAACTTTTGACTACAATACAAACCATTAATGAGAAACGCAGAGCACGCCACTCTCTTATTGTCTAAAATTAAGTACCTGTTGTGGTTGGTTATCCACATCACCTGGGCATGCAGTGGTAAGAATCAAGGGCATAGCCTCGGAAGTATCAGATGTGCCCATTGGCTATTAAGTCATTAAGTTAAGCTACTCTAACGCACTAGTCTTAGGCAAAGGGTGAACCCCTCCAATGGTGAGGCTCGCATGCAGCCACAGAATATCTGCCGGTAGATAACGATTATCATGACTTCGTTATAGCTGTGATTTAGCTGACCATAAGCCATGACCACTACGGCATCCAGATGGACTTAACTTACTCCATCGCATTTCAGGGGAGTTCTCTATTACTTTGTTATTTTAACGCCTATTCGATTCTATGCACCATAAGAGTCAAAAAAAGTCCAGTAACATAGTCATTAACTAGAGTGATATAGACTTAGTTGCCTCGGGATGCAACAAAGCTATAAAATAGGGCTGACCAATAGGACGTCTCAGTTCTAAAGCTACAAATTTTCGAATGAACAATCAGCGAATAATTGGTATTTATTCACAATCTTCAGAGGTGTTTGCCAATATAAGAAAGGGAAATTAAGTTAAAGATTCCTGATGGCGACAGCATAGGCCCGAGTTGAGCTCAAAAAATCTACGCACAGCTATGCATATCCGGTGATATAAATGCTCAAGGGTACTAGATAATTCTGGTCAACATTAGACTTGGTAGGGAACTTCACCAGATCCGTTTGGAGACATCTTCTTTCAACTCGAGTTAGGTGCTATTAACGACTTATTGGATAGGCTCGGGTATAGGGGTTAACTGATATAACTCTACGCAATGGAGTCACTGTGTCGAGGCACACGATAAACTGCTTTGAGGCACGTCTACTTGAGTACGAGTGATTTCCCCTATCGGCAAGTATTCCACATTTGTCCCACTATACAAAGATGTACTTCCCCGGAGTCTTCGGAGACTTGAGTCGGGTTCCCAATAGTCAAACAGACTAACCAACCAAATAGAACAGCTTTCAACAAGGTATAAGGATACATCGGGTTTATGTGGCGCAAAGCATGCCTGGTCGACGAATCTACGGAATAGGTATTATACTGCTGACACACTAGCGTCGGTTATTTGATTTTCTACCTACTTGGCAAAGTAAGGCAAGGCGAGCAGGGAGCGGTGTATTTAAAAAATTTTTTGACGCGGAGAGTGGGAGGGAGAGAGAGAGTTAATGTCGATCGTGGTGAAAGATAGGATGAATGAAATCGCCATTTAATTAACCACACATATATGCATAAATCTCCACACTGATCTTTCTCATTCACCTTCTATGTGTGACCTTACATGGGGAGCTTTCTTCCTCCTACGGAATGTTGACTCTGTGTGTGTGTGTGTGTGTGTGTGTGTGTGTGTGTGTGTGTGTGTGTGT